TCAAGCATGCGATGGAGGCGCTCGATTTCTTTCTTGGGATAATCAGCACCTTTCTCCAAACAACTTTTAGCAGCTTTCAAATAAATCTTTCCATGTCTGACAAAACGAGATAAAACAGTTAGAAAAGTACTTTTATATATATATTTTTTGGTGCTAGGAAAAGTAGTTATATGAGAAATAGAAAAAAAAATGCAATCAACCCAGGAAATGTGGATCTGCTTCAATCAAACCAAAGATTATTAATTCAGAAATTAAAGGCTAACCAAATTAGTACCTTGCAGTAGAACCCTTGAGCTTCTCAACTTCCTCCTCTATCTTGGAAAAGACTGCTTTTTTCTCACCATCGGCAGCAGCTATAAAGTCCTTCACCAATGCATCTAAGCTTGACACTGTACCAGCCTATCAGAAATAAGAATGGGTAATAGAGTTACATACAGAAGAAAGATTAAAACTCAATGCGACAGATAGCTATGATAAGTTGCTAACTTTTGATGTAAGCTGTCCTTTTCCATCACGACTTGTACCACATTTTTCATTGATGAAAGCAACAAAGTCTTCTAAATCCCTTCCACCCTCAAATTCTTCACCAGCTTTGTTGCCCTTTGGAAAGAATTTCAGCGTTGGATACCCGCTTACTTCATACCTGCACTTACACACCACAAGTCTTAACATACTCTGTTCCTAAGATCAATGAAAATTTTAATTTTTAGGCTTTTAACAGGTTTTTATTTTCTACTTACAACCATTATACTAGATAACTAAGCTCACAGATTAAATTTTAACTTACTTTTCAGCTAAATCCTTGTATTTATCAGCATCTAGATTAGCAATAACCACATCTTCTTCCTGTTTAAATGCTGTTGCTACCTTCTCATAGGTCTGCCCAGGCAAAGCAAGAGTTAAAGGAGATAACCATTTGAAAAAAAAATCATGCCAAATTATATCACAAACGAATAGGCATGCTTACAGGAGCAAGGTTTTTACAATGGCCACACCTGTAACAAGCAGACAGACAAATCAACTAATAGAAACACACTTAGTGAAAAAGGATAAGAATAAAAATAAAAAAATGGCAAAATGTACTACTTTGAAGAATTCAGATGCAGGGCCACTTTATCTATGTCAAAAATGTTATTACTTAATGATAGTCTCATAAAAGCTTGGTTTCAATATGGGAGAATTAGACAAGGTCTTGCATACGCAGAAGTACCTTTGCTTAAGTGACAGAAAGCATCAATGAAGAAAAAAGAATGCACGCTTACCATGGTGCATAAAACTCAACCAAAACATCCTTGGTTTCATCAAGTACAATCTCACCGAAGTTATCATCTGTTAGCACCACCACGCTGGATGGAGCTGTGGCTATCTTCACATTACTCCCTGAAAAACAATTAGGTGACTTAGGGGGGTACATTACAAAACAAATACAATAAAAAAAAAAAAAGGGAAGAAGAAGAAGAAGAAATGATTTTGGATGAAATAAGTTCTTAAAATGTTAAAGGGGGTAGTGAATGATGATGGTGCTAAATTCCTAGATAGATACACCAAGACTCGTCCAGACTCAAGAGCAACAAATAACAGTGAGAAACAAGTCAAATTGCATCACATGCTTAACAGATTTCATGATATTGAAATAGGTAGGGAGAGAATGAATCATTCCAGAAGTTAGATTGTACAATATTACAGTAGCAGAGTTGTATCGATATCCAAAGCGTGCACACAAGCAAGTCAACAAGATAGAATTCTCTCAATCCAATTTGAACAAGGAAACTGTGGAAGAAAGAAGCAATACCTCCTTCAGTGTTCACAAACTCAGCAAGGGCTTCTGCAGACCTTGGTCCTTCATACCTATAAAAACCAATTCGTGTCAATTCAGACTACAGTTGATAAAGTGTTAAAAGTAAGAACAGAAATTTACGTTAAAAAAAAAAAGAAGAGAAGAAAAAAGAGAGATTAAAAAGTTCAGGATTTTGTTTCAAAAGTTGAATGACTTACTTTTTGGGTTCCAAAGAACCTTTAGGGAACCACTGAATTGTTGGATAGCCTTGAACTCCATATTTGCTGCACAAGCTCTTATGCTCGTCACAGTCCACCTACACCAGATAAGTGAGAAGAAAGTATGTCACAATGGTTTCTATATATATCCACATTTCGAAGTTAAAAATGAGACTGCATCAAAAAGCAAATGAAAAATTCATCATACCAAATACTTGAAATTCACGACTGGCAGTATAAACATCCAAAAATATGTGCATACTTAAAGAAATGGGTAAATCACAGAACATTAGTCCAACTACTCCAACCACAGACCCTTTTAATTGATCCAACCAAAATCAAGTCTCAGGATAATATACCTACTCATTCAATTATGAATAATGCTTGTTTCCTTTATCGTAACTGATATCAGGAAGCAACCAGTGATAGCACGTAAAGATTACAAATCGAAGGAGGATTAACCAGCAACCAAACTATCCTAAATTCTATAATCTATCTTCCATTTCAGCCAGCACTATCCTAAATTCACACTGCAAAAAAATCGGTGCATCAGTAAGTAACTAACCTTTCCGATCAAGACGGATTTAGCCTTCTTAAAACTTGAACCGAGCTTCTCATACTCCGGAGCTAGCTTCTTACAGTGCCCGCACCTGCCACGGTATCAAATCAATACACAAAAACCATCAGCCGACTTACTCAACTCCTAAATTGAAATCAAGCCGAAAACACAGATCTAGACATCAAACAACATCGATCGCAATGCAGAAAAAAGCATCGAAAACAGATTAAAAAACGAAATCAAAGATGAAATGAGCGAGCGACGAAATTACCAAGGAGCATAAAACTCGACGAGAGCTCCTCTATCTTGGCCAATCTCTTTCTCGAAGTTATCTTCCGTGAGCACCACAACGTCGTCCGCTAAAGCCGAGACGAAGAACAAGGCTAGAGCCACCATGGCTATCCAGATCTGAGACATCGCCATTTTCGCTTCTGTGTTTCAGTTCCAGCTTTCTCCTTCAATCACAGAAGACGGGACGAACTTTTATACAATGTTTAAAATTTCCCGGTTTGTTGTATTTTTGTAATTGGGAAAATCTAGAGGAATGCGTCCCCAGGTGATTACAATGGTCTTCATCAGCCACGTGTTTTTGATTACGTGGCATATCCTGATAGGCCAGGAAACCGTAATGGGTCGTATGTCGCCGTCCACTCGCATGGTTCAAAGTAGTTGCGGTTTTATTTGGGCGATAAATGATGGCATCCTGATGACGTGAAATTTAAATTTCAGGTTTGACTCTCTCCGTTTTTTTTTTAAAAAAATATTAATATTATCACAATAATTACTCATTTAAATAATAATAATAATAATAGGTCGTATGTCGCCGTCTACTCTCGTGGTTCAAGTAATTACGGTTTTATTTGAGAGATAAATGATGGTATCTGATGGCGTGAAATTTAAATTTAAATTTTGACTCTCACCATTTTTTCTAAATAAATATTAATAGTTACAATAATTACTCATTTAAAT